GTTTGCATCCTGCCTTGGTAATTCCCAGGCACAAAGTGGAAGACTGGCTTGATAGGCTGATCTATCAGCATCTGGTACCACACCATCCAGTCTGGGATCTTTTTTCTTTGTAATATTTTAAGTTTTACTAAGTGCTTTCCTCACAACAATCCCACAAGGCAGTGAGGTCACATACTATTATCTACATTTGATAGATGAAAAAGAGGCTCGGAAAGAGATAAAGCGACCCATCCACAGTCACAAAGCTAGCAAGTTTCACAGCTAGGACTCAAAACCAGATTTTCAGATCAAAGAGGCAGTGGGGTGTAATGGAAAGGAAACTGGGATGGAGTCAGATGGACTGGGTTATAATTCAAAGCTTGTTTTTTTTGTTGTTTTTTTTTTTACTACCAAGGGGATGCTAGGGTCTAGCATTTTTGAAGGAAGGAGTCCAGGCAAAAACTCAATTTGTGAGTTCAGCAAAAACTCAACTCCCTGAGCCTAGGGAGGCTTAGATAATTTTCATGCTACTGAGTAAAAGAAATACCTCATAGACTGGACATTTCAATGAGAAAATTATAACCAAAGTTTTCATGAGCATGAATCAGATCTTTATTATTTTTTGAAAACAGAATTTTCCAAGCAGTCTTTGGAAAAATTGTTTTTTAACTGAAACAATCCCCAACACTTTGTAGCCAGTTTGTTCATTCAGAAGGCTATTCCGTGGCATAGGTAATTGGGGTTATTCTGGTTTGGAAATAGATATCTTTAATCATCTCTCACTAGCTGCTTTCTATTTCCCTTCTCCCCTGAGTTGGGTCATTTTTATTTAAAGTTATCCAAATTCTTTAAAGCATATACACTCTAAAGAAACAATGTGGTATAGTAGAAAGAGTACTATATTTAGAGTCAGGGATTGTTGTTTAGCCATTTGGGGTTTTCTTGGCAAAGATATTGGATTTGCCATTTCCTTCTCCAACTCATTATACAGATGAGGAAACTGAGGCAAATATAATTAAATGACTCGTCCAGAGTCACACAGCTACTAAGTGTCTGAGGCCATATTTGAACTCAGATAGTCTTCCTGACTCCAGGCTTGGCACTCTATCCACTGTACCACCTAGCTGCCCTTAGAGTCAGGGACCTAGGTTCAAATCTTCACCCTGCCATGTGACCTTGAGTCACTTAATTTCTCTGGGCCTAGCTCTATAAAATTAGAGGACTGGTTTAGATGACTGCCAGGTCCCTTCCAGCTCTAAACACAAGAGCGCCTTATTAAAAAATCTTTCAAACATAAGAAAGCAGAAAAGACTTCTAGGCAATTGCCCTAAAGCGGGGGCCAAGCAGGATTTAACCGCTTTGAACTTCATGTAATATGTCTAAATTAAGGCTGAATTTTAAAGTAGATTAGATAAGAGCAAAGATTCCTAAAGCTAAAGAGTTTTAATTCCAGAGCAACGGAGGGTTACTGTGAAGCTTTTGACAGTCAGCTCTTGTCGAATGCCTACACATGCAGCTTCCCCACACCCCCTTCCCCCAAGCTTAGAGGATGCTTCCTAGCAAAGAAGAATTACGGCCTTTGTGGCTCCCAGCAACAGACAGAACTATCTTACTAAGATCCGAGAGTGGTTGCAGCTGCAGAGGAAAGAAAAGCATGAAAAAAGGTGGTGGGTCTGGAAGCCTGTTGGGAAACGAATAGCAGGAAAAGGCCAATCATGACACGGTCAAGTAACGGAGTAACCCAATGGGGAATCTAAGCGCTCACCTCATTAAAATGGACATCCTGCATCCCAACATCTTCCATCATTGAGGCTTCTTCATCTATATTGGGGGTAATTACCCTGAAGGCTGTGCACCCTTGCCTAAACATGCCTAGGAAATTTGAGAGAAAGAGATTTGAAGAGTTAATTGCCTGAAAGTAGGTGAACTCAATTAACTCAAGGTTCCTTCCTGATGAGGGCAGGGGGGTGTTTCCATTTTCAAAAGGATGTGGCCAAGTCCTGAAATAGGCCAAGCCTTAAGGACACACTCAGAGGAGGGAAGTCAATGCTGCTGTTTACTTCTCCTGAGTGTTAGTTAGGCCTTTCTTTACACACCCCCTCCTTTCATATTTTCTGTAACTTTAATCTTCAAGTTTCCTAATCAGTTCTGCTTTTCACAAGTTCATTTATTTCAAAACAGTATTTCATGTTAGCATATAATATCTAAAGGCTCTCCATATCATGATTATGGGCTATCAATCAAATTCACGGTAAATACACAATTCCTGAGTTGCAGGAAATAGCATTCACAGTAAAATTATGTTCAATTAAATCAGAACAGATTTGTCAGGATAATCACCCCCTAGATACCAAGATAAATGTGTAAACCAAGATCATCAAAAGAGGAAACAGGCAACTAAAAGAATCCCACTTCCCTCAAGCCTCAATAATAAATAACAAAATACAGTTTGCCTCACCCAGCATGACTGAGAGTAGAGCAACAAGCCATGATTTACATGTCGCCCTCCCTCTCTAAAATGAGATGGGGATATTAAATGAAAGCACTTCGATAGCACCATCTACAAGGGGAAACTTGGACACAGGATTAGCTGGTTTCCCCATCAGTTGCCTCTAGAACATGATGAGGTCTTTCACCCCACCCAAGATGGAAACAGTATATGGAATGGCACTGCTTTGGAAATTCAGATACACCCATATTCTGGGGGAAAACACAACAACAACAACAAATCGAGGTTAAAGTTAGAGCTAGGAGAAACAGCTGGGATCAACTTCCTTAAAGTACTTCCAACTATTTCAGGTCTATATGATGATGATGATGGTGATGGTGGTGGAACGGTATTTTGCTTTAGCTGGGCAACCACTTGAAATGCCAGCTGAGTGACAGTTATTAAGTGGGGTAGTACTTCAGCCCATAGAATGACATAGAAAAGACTGCTTCCTATTTCATAATTAGATACTTTCCATCATATGCAAAGGAAATAGGCCCTTGCCACTGATGGATTAATATGACATCACTAATTAGGTTGTTTGGTTATTACTATTACTTCTACGACAGGAAATCTGGGTTTTATGAATGAAGATTATGAACAAAGAAGCCAAAACATGAGTTTGGCAGGGGCAACAAAATGTGACCCTTAAAAACCTCAGGCTAAGCTATTAAGTCAGTTGACAAAATATAATTTGGCATTAGCAGGGTTAAATCAAGACGTTAAGGAGTTTTATATAGATAAGCTCTCTCTTGCCAACCATAGAAGAGCTCAAGAAAAAGAGGGAGAGAGGGGTGGAAAATGAAAGGCATCTGTTCAAAGGTGAAAAGTCCAACACCAACGGACGGTAGCAAGTAGTGGCAGTCCTGGCTGCTAGAGGCCGCCCTCAAGCTCACCTCCCCGACCGCTCCTCTGCAAGGTGCTGTGGCTGTAGGGGAGGTTGGATAGCTCCCATCGGGATGTTAAATCTGCTTCTAAATATGAGGAAACGGATTACCTGATGATGATCTTAACAGAGAATCCTAAAAGCAGCAATATGGCATGATACTTTCTTTAAATTTTTTTTTCTTTTGCCTTCCTCTTTGGATTTGTGACAATGCTTAATTTATTTTAACTTGGTACACTCAAGGTGGACAGCCCTGTATGCCAAACCGCAACCCCTTTATTCTTTGCATCAACCCTCTGTTCAACACCACTTCTGGAATGACCCTCTCTTTTCCTGCTGGCTTAACATTGATGCTCTCCAGGGTATTTTCCTGTACTGAAAAATGACCTTAAAACCAGTTTCTTCTTCAGAAGCAAAGGTTGCTGGCAGATACTGTGATAATTTTAGAAAGGAAAAAGACTGACAGATAAAAAAAGGATGTAGTCAAGGTGACTAGATCCTTATACTGCAGTACAAGGCTTGCCAAACGCCCAGTAAGTTTGTAACATAACAGGCCATAATAGCAGCAGCTCACATTTAAAGTTTACAAAGCACTTCCCCTCTGCCTAAATAATACCATCCCCATTTTATAGATGAGCAAACGCAAGCATGGGGACATTAAATGACTTGTCTGGAGCCACACAAGCAGCGAGGCAAACAGAAATCCTTCTAACTTTAAAATGCTTTGTGGAGAGGCAGTAGTGATGTAATGGATGACAATGGGAACTCAGCTCCAATTCCAATTGTGCCTTTTTCTAGTTACGTGACACTAGGCAAGTCACTTAACCACTACGGACCTCAATTTCCTCATCTGCAAAATGGGAATAAGACAACTCACACCACCCTTCCTTTCTGAGTTTCTATGAGGAAGGGCAGGAAAAATAATAACAACAACAATAATAATAGCTAACATTTATACAGTGCCTTCTATGTGCCAGGCACTGTGTAAAACACTTTACAAATCTTATCTCATTTGATTCTTACAATAGTCCTGGAAGGTAGGTATTATTATTCTCCTCATTTTACAGTTGAGGAAACTGAGACAGACAGAAGTTAAGTGACTTGCCGAGGGTTACACTCTTAAGGCTGGATTTGAAGTCAGTTCTTCCTGACTCCTGACCAGTCTACTATCTACTACACACGCCCAGGGCAGGGAGCAGAGTTATGATTTCATTGCTATGGAGATCTCCTATATAGAGAAACTCCCTCCTTAAAGGAAGGCTGGCCCTTTTCTGCAACTTTTAGTCTTAGAGAACCACTTAGAGAATTCAGAGGTTGAGTGACTTGTCCAGGGTCACAAAGTCAACATATGTCGGAGGCAATGCATGAACCCATAAGACTTTCTCGCTTTGAGGCCAACTCAAACCTTAATTCCTATTTAATCATGAGTTGTTTTTCATTATTCTATCCCTTGTACTCAATCCAGCACCCAACACATAGGTACTTAAAAAACATTTGTTGAATTAACCTAGATTAGAAAATGAACAAGAAGAGATTGATAAAATAAGCATTTCTACCCTGACCCCTACCCCTTCAATTTCTTCTTTTTATCCCAAAGTTCCACATTTATTTTCTGTTGGGATGAAGGCTACACATTCAGAAAATTTACCAAGTTCTCAAAAATGAACTACATGCTGAATAGAATGCTTGGAGCTGATCATGACATTATGCTCCTGAATACCTTGAGTTACAATACAAGCCTTCAAAAGGAAAAGGGGGGGGGACTACTTTGGGAAAGATCAAGTCCTTTTGGCCCTAGGTTCACTTCAGCAACAAGCATCATAACTGTTGTTAGAAACCTTCAGCAAAAACTGCAGTATAAGGCTTTGGGAAGGAAAAAGTCTTCGAGTGTTGATACTCAGTCTGAGACTACTACGTCAAAGAAGGGTGTCTGACAATCTACATTCTTCTGGTGGTACTGTCTTTAAAGAGTCATTTTGGGGTCTACTTTTTCTCTTAAAAACCTTTGCTTCCTCTTTTGTTTCAAAAAGTTTGCTTCAGAGGGTGCCAGATGGTCTTCACACAGCTTCATAGTTAACATCCTCCTAAGCTGTCTCTGTACCAGAAGAAGAAAATATTTCCAGCACAGCAGTCCACTAAACACACCTCATAAATTCAGACCAAGTTAGCTCCACAAAACACTGGCAATCACTTCTTACCTTTCCTTGTAAGATATTCAGCCACCAAAGCTGTCACGTGGACATAGCACATAGCTGCCTGTAAAATAAAACATCATACATTGGACGTGTCATTAATGACATTTTACGTTTGGGTAACACTTTACAGTTAACAGACCCTTTCCATATATTCTATTACGTGCTATAAAAATCTGGTAAAGTAACTGCAGTCACTTCTAGTTACTAAGGTAACTAAAAAAAAAAAGCTAATTAGGTTGACCTTCACTAGTTGAGGAAGGATCAAAAAGAAAAATATTGTGTGTGTAGCCATGGAACTGAAAATTCCACAACTGGCTGTCTGAAATTAAAGTTTATGGATGGAAAAAGGGAATCAAAAGAACAGATCTTGTTCCATAACCACAGAAAGCTTCAAAATTCAAAAACAGTATGTGTGCATCTCTTTGAGGAGTTGCTACCATCACTTACACTAATGTAATGATCCCATATATTTGGTAACAGACTGGTCATATACAACCTGCTTCAATTTAAAATTTGTAACTAAACTGAGGACCAAAATATAACCATCAGGACTATTATCCATTACATTTCAATTCTGATCACAGGTACTGTTTTAACCAGAAAGATAAAACATAAACATCATTATCTTTCCCCCCAGAGCTGGGGAACCTGTGGCCTTGAGGCTGCATGTGGCCCTTTAGGTCCTCCTGTGCAGCCCTTTGACTGAATCCAGACTTTACAGATAAGTTTGGAATCAGTCAAAGGGCTGCACTTGAGGACCTAGAGGGCCACATGTGGCATTGAGGCTGCAGGTTCCCTACCCCTGCCTCAAACCTATGCCTCATTTTAACTCCTTTGTCATAGGTGAGGGCAACGTCATCCTTGCTGTCACCCAGCTTTACAACCAAGGCATCATGGCATAATCACTCTTCTTCATTCCACATATCTAATCAATTGCAAAATCACGTCATTTCTATCTCCACAACATCTCTTGCATATGTCCCCTTCTCTCACTCACTTGGCTTCAGGCCACTTGAGTTCAGCTCTCAGCACCTCTCACTTGTATGAACTACTCAAGTAACCTTCTAATTAATCTTTTTGTCTAAAATTTGCCCCACTCCAATCCATCCTCCACAAAGAAGAATGATCTTTCTAAAGTACAGGTCTGACCATGTCACTCCTTTTTTTTTTTTAAAATCTTTCATACAATTCATAAACATTTTGGAGTTTACTTTTAATTATAATTTTGATTTGGCTTTTTAAATAGTTTGCCATTATGAATTTCAGTTATATACATTCCAAATGTCTCCTTATCATAAGGATCTGGTTTGGCATTCAAAACTCTTCACAAAAAACCTGCAAAGACTTACATGAACTGATACAAAGTAAAATGAGTAGAACCAGGAGAACACCGTACATAGTAACAGCAATATCATATGATGATCAACTATGAAGGACTTAGCTATTCTCAGCAATACAATGATCCAATACAGTTCTGAAGGACTTATGAGGAAAAATGCTATCTATTTCCAGAGAAAGAACTGATGGAGTCTGAATGCAGATTAAAGCACATTTATTTTTCTTGTTTTTTTGTCTGTTTTCTTTCACAACATTGCTAACATGGAAATATATTTTCTATGACTGCACATGTATAACCTATATCAAATTGCTTGCCTTCTCAATGACGGGGGAGGGGAAAAAAGGAGGGGAGAGAATTTGGAACTCAAAATTTTAAAAAACAAATGTTAAAAATTGTTTTTATAAGTAATTGGGGGAAAAATAAAATACTAAATTTTAAAAACTCTTCATAACCTGGTTCCAACTTACCTTTCCAACTTTATTATATTTACTTCCATTCATGAACTCTAGGGTTTAGCCAAACTGGCCTTTTTACTGTCTTTCATACTCAACACTCCAATTCTGGTCTTTGTGCCTCTGTAGTGACTGTTCCTCATGCCTGGAATTCACTTTATCTTCATCTATGCCTTTAAGAACCCTAACATCCTTCAAGACTCAGCTCAAATGCCACTTTATACATGAAAATCTTCACTGATCCACCCAGTTACTAGTGTAGAAGTCCCCAAACTTTCTTACTTCGTATTGCCCTTAGCACCTCAGTAATTGTTCCACAGCACCCCTGGGTCAAAAGAGATACGTAACAAGAGTTCTACTTTTTAAGTAGTTAGGTCAAAACTTTGAAATATCCTGCAGTGTTCCTGTGAGCTGCGGCACCATGGACCATGGTGGTGCATAGTTTTAGAACTGAGGTGCTAGTGCCTTCTTTCTCAGTTTTGTATGTACGGGTATATCTATGAGTATATGTTTGTATGTGTGGGGTGGGTGTGAGTGTTTATAGGGGCATGGATATGTTCATCCATAGACAGATAGATAGATACATAGATAGATATACATACAGATATATGTACATATTTAGATATTCATATGTATATGTGTGTAAACATATACACATACATACATACATACATACATACATTTGTCTACCTCCACAAGCTCATTGAAGCAGGGACGATTTCACTTTTGACTTTGTAACCCCGTAAACTAGCATAGTGCCTGGCATATCACTGACATCTAATAGATGATCACTGATTAGTTGATTTTTGTTAAAACTTTCTATAACATCTGCCGTATTTTCTTAAAGTGGACAGAATAAAGGAGACTGTTCTCATTTTAAACTGTTCAAGAAATGGGAATTAGATTCTAAAAAGAGAAATGAGTAGAACCAGGAGAACACTGTATATAGTAGCAGCAATATATGATGATCAACTGTGAATGGCTTGGCTGTTCTCAGCAATACAATGAGCCAAGACAATTCTGAAGGACTTAGGATGAAGATTCTAAAAAGAAACTCTCCCTCTCTATCCAGTCTCTCAATTTTAAGTTAAATATATCTATGTATACACACATATTTTATATTAGATAAATATACATTTCATCATATATTATATATGTACGCATATATATATCTTATCTAATACATATTTATCAAATACACATCTTCACCAAATACGTATCGTTACCATGTACACACATACATACACACTCAAATATATTTCACTTAAAATTGAGATACACACATATTTTTCTGATCTTTCCATTTTAAGTTGTCTTGGATAGACAAAAGCTTAACTACAAAATCCAACCAGCTGACCTAATCATAAAAGAGAAGTCACTTTGGCGGGAGACCAAACATATACAAGGTACTAATTATTAAGAACCTAATTAAATGATTTATGACTGGAAATAAACAAAGTTGAAAAATCTAGTTATCAGATCATTGCCAGTGACAAGAAATTCTGAGATGGCATGAAATACTACTACTATTTATAATAAGGATAATAATTCGTATTTTAAAATATGTTGTTGCTCATAAATTACTTCATCACAATAGGTACTTCATGTTTCATTATTTCTGTTTTACGAAGGAGAAAACTAAGGTCCAGAGAGATTAATTAACTTACTCATGGTCATAGAGTTATTAAATGTTAAGAATCTTGATTAAAATCCAGGTGTTCAGTGATCTTTTGGCTATAACACACTGTTAGGAATGATCTCACATAGAGTCCTGTCCAATGAACATTTGGCTGTGGATTGCTGTTACCACCATGTTGCCATGAAGGCTGGCAGAAGCTGCATGATAATCTGGCCAAGGGTGGACAGCTTGGCTGCTCTTTGGGGAATGAAGTGGTGGAAACAGTGTTAGCTTAGGAGTCAGGAGAGACCTGAAATCAAATTCCAGTTCTAACACTTAATAGTTTTGTGACCTCAGGCAAGTGAAATAAACTTTCTAACACTCAGTTTTCCTCATCTGTAAAATGGGGATGACAATATCTACCTCACAGGGTTAGGCTTTTGTGAGAGAATGTATATAAAATGCTCTGCAGACTTTAAGGGAACATATAAATGTCGGCTATTACTATTTTTCTCCTTGTTGTCCTTTGCATGCCCAGAGCGAAAGGAGACTTGAGGTACTTTTTCAGACACCCTCACACCTGAGCTAAGCAAACACTATGATGGAGTCTTTTGGGCTGGAAAAGAAGAGATGTCCCCCCCTTACATTCTGCACTAATGGAGAGAACTATGATATGGAAAACGCTCTCAGGAAAATTTAAACCTCTGGTCATAATAGCATGAGTGACACTCCATCTCATAAGAATTTTTTGTCTTTGGTCTCCATTTAGTCAGTTGATCGATCAACAAGAATTTATTAAATGTTTACTGTACCACTGTAGCCCCTTTTTATCTACTTTGGGCCACTCTGAGGAAAGGCTCACACCAGCCATGCCCCACTCTCTAAATTCTGCCACAATGTAGCCCTATCCACCCTTCCAGCTCCATTAGAATCTAAGCTTGTCAAGAACAGAGTTGGTCCTCAGAGTTTAGCAAAGTAGTAAGCACTTAATAAATGGTTAGTTACTTGATTTAACTTGAGTGCCAAGCTCTGTGCTAGGAACTAGGGACATGAACAAGGAGGGGCAGAGAATAAGCATTCAAATATCACCTACTATTTTCCAGACATTGTGCCAAGTGCTTTTCACAAAGATTATCTCATTTGATCCTTACAACAACCCTGTGAAACAAGAGCGATTACTATCTTTTGACTCTTTTG